CATCAAATCAATCACGTGGCGACGTTAGTAAACAGGATTTAATATAAGCAAGGCTTGTGTTTTTATTAAGAAATACAAACGCAATAGTGTCGACAGTTTAATCGTTGAAATATTGTGTTTACTATTTAATATAAATTACTTAATTGGATTCCAGTCAGAAAAAAACGATTTTAATATTATATTGCAACAGCAGTCTGTGGCCTATTAATATGATTCTATGCAAAGCAAAATCAAGTGTTATGATGAAAGGTCATATTCCAAGGTGAAAACAGCATGCGCAAGAGAAGTTCATGTTTTATTTTTTAGAATGTTGTTCCATTATCAATGCTGCAAAGCTTACGAACGGATGATTAAAATGCACATAGAACAATCTAAAAACGCAAATTAATCCACATGTCGCTCTAATTCTGTGTTTAATGTTTATAGCATTTTAATATTCTTTTTTTTAAATATAAAGTATAAAAAGTAAGTAATATCAAAAAAACTACAATAAACTGCCTTTTTTTGCTCTTATCCTGAACGTTATGTGTCATGGTAAAATGATTAAATAAATAATTTAAGATCCTTGAATTACACTTAATTTTTTTAACCTTTAACATTCATAGCTACCATACATAGTTTTAATATAGTGTTAAAATTTTTTAAAATTGAATACCGAACTAAAGTTTAAGAGATGGGAAATAAAGTTTAATGCTCTACGCCCAAGAGCGTGTGCAAAAATGATACACTGGGGCTGACTTAAGGGTTATTATAGCATCGTGGTGGGGTAATAAATTTTGAAAGAAAAGTTGCTATAATCCACTTTACTCCGAAAATAATATGGGATGGAGTAAATTTACTCTCATCATCATCATCTTGTCTCATAGGGAGATTTTGTTATACGTGTCTCGCTTAGGAGGCTTTTTAGCAACCGCAGTTTCTTATAGTTTTGAATTGATATCAGGAAGCCAATGCTGCTCATCTCCTGGTTTCTGTCCCTTTATCGCCACACAAAGTGATGGTATGGGTTGGTGGATAATCTAACACCGCTACTTCAAACATATAGTGCAAGTATATAAGCACTTATAGTATTATTATCTCACTATTACGGGTTGGTTTTACTTGTGAGTAGTGGTAAAATTAAAAATTTTGTACAACCGATTTCAATGTAAATAAAATGCGAACATCATCAATGTAGTCAAAGCCAATTAAAAAATCAATTTTAAAGGATAACTCAAAAACTCCCGGTCAGATCTTGATTAAATTTATATGAAACCACATGAAAATCATCAGCTTTCAAATAAGAAAAAAATAACAAAATCGATTTACCTTGAAAAAAGTTTTGAGGTAACATAAAAAATCATACAGTGGAATTAAATAGCTCCTTCTTTTTCGAAGTCGGTTAAAAACAAAGTTGCTTCTTTGAATTACGATAGGTTGGCTAACGATACTGCAATTACGCACACAAGCACGTGTGTCTCACATATTATAACAACTACAAGAATGGCTCGGTGGCCTTCGTGAGATAAAACATCTTAACAAATGCACACGCTGACACAATTAAACAGAAACACTCGTGCAGGCCGACATGCGTGATGTAACGATTAGCTAGAATACACTCATCGTCATAAGTCTATAATCATTATTACGTAGTATGGCATCGCTATTAAAAATGCGGATATCCGCAGTAGGACCAGAGTAACCGACATATCCAAACGGATAAGTAAGCTGAAGTGGCTACGGGCCGGCCATATTGCTCTAAGAACCAACATCCCAAAAATAAAGGTAGTCGAAGTGTGGGGCGGCCACCCACTAGATGAAGTGACATCATGGTAAAACATGCAATAAGCCGATGGATGCAGAAGGTTCAGGACCGTGCTTTCAGGCATTCCTTGGGGGTGGCTCACGATGATGATTATGAGAGCAACATTACTGTATAGCATCATAAATGCAGCGCAAAATGGTCTCCTCCACCAGAGATGGAACAAGTCCTTTCTTGCTCAAATAAAGGAGCATCATAACGTAGCTGTATTTTGTATGATTAGCTTCCGTTTTTACTGTATTCCGTCGGCGACAACATATTTGCATTTTGAGTCTTATTGGAAGATAGACAAAGGAATCTATGAAGCACAGCCTCTACGTACTTACAGTTAGGTGAACCGTATGCTTTGTGTCAATTTGAAATTAAATTAAAAGAACATTCTTATCTGTAACAGTCATATCTGGATACAGGCAGCTTATGCCGATTGACAATCACATTGATCGCTTTCCATCCATCCCTGTTCTGAATAATTATTTAATGATTTATGATATGCTTATTTTAGAAATAAACGACAGTAACAGAATGAATTAACGTGGTATTTCAAGCTTATTTGCCTTGACTATTTTCGTCAACGCAATCTTTAAGGGTGATTTTAATCGATGTCGAACGATTGGTGTGGTAGCTCTATAACGTAATAAAACGTTGTTTAATCATTAATGAACGTTAATCAACAGTTAATCAATGTTATTTGTCGGCTCATTATCAGTATCTTTCAAAATGTATTCAAAGGAGGACATGTTATTATTGGCCAGTACGCTCTTGCTCGTTTTATTATAACGGAGCGTAGAAGACTCTGAACGCGACCGTTTTTTAAGGCCAGAGATAGCATTAATTCATCTATACGACATTTTAAATCGCGGTTGGTGGAGCAGGGCGGGTTCTCGAATAATCAAGCAGCTCGATCGACTTCGCTTAATCTATTCTCAATCCATGCCATCGATCGATCGGTGTGGTAGAAACGATCGATCGACGTCGACTTATCCATTCCACCATCGATCGATGCCATCGATCTACTATCGATCGATTGGTGTGGTAACACCCTAACGGACGACACACACGGTCAGTGCAACGGATTATTCCAACTGATTGGTTCAAATTAGGACTGTTGATATTTTTCTAAATATCGGATTTTCGATATATAGAGAAATAAACTTATATCAATAGAGAAATAAACTTGTATAAAACTCCGATATTGATATATTTATAAATATCGATATATCGAAAATCCGATATTTTAAAAAATATCAACAGTTCTAGTTGAACTGACCATGTTTGTCGCCCATAACACAGTTAATTAATGGAATGCGTACGCGATCGTCTCGTGGCAGTAAATTTTTGATTCATTTATCGCTAGCCATCGTTTCATTTCACATACATACTTTAATTATTGTTACTTGTTTCAATGCTACTTAAGCACAAAATTATATGCAGATGTAGTATTATGAGAAATGTATAAATGTATAATAATAATTTACGTAAATTGATCTCAATGCCAATGTTCATTTTCATGTATATTAGCTTTAGTAGTTCAAGAGCGCGATAACTAATAAGCTTTTTTTTTTTTAAATGATTTTATGCACAAGCGAATACTATCAATGTAATATCCTTCAGTACACATTTTTGTCATGGCGGCCAATCTCTAGGGAACCTAGCCATCTGAGTAGGACAGGTTTATAGTGTACGAGTATGTACATATGCGCAATTGCGCTCTCAATTCCCACTTTCATCGTCTAACGGGACGGCAATCCAATACGAATGGAGACAGATTAAGCGCAGGTTCAACGGTTTATGTGTTTTCCGAGGAATGATGGCGGGATGAAACACCGCCAACTTCCTGACTCCGGGAACTTTCTGCACCTCAGGGACAGAAAAATCCATAATAAAATTTTGGACCCGGCTTTCGAACCCGAGACTATGATCAAGCACCAGACCAACGAGATAGTTACCATTAAATATTAAAATAACTGACAAATGTGTATTGGGGTAACACATAACGGTTCTCTTGTGCTGAATATAATTATATTTCTTAAAGATGTTAATTTTTTCTTTTTTACGATTTCGATTTTTACGCGGAGAGTATTAATTATAACATATTTGTATAACATATATTAGTAATAATTTTAACATATTTATTATAATGGATTTCGGAAAAGCAACGCCTGATTTGATTTGCATCAAATTATTTCTGTTTTCGAAGCCACTAACCACAGTATTCATTTCTAGTACATGGAAATAATCATTTTATAAATATTATCATGGAAGAAGGAGCGGAGGATACTGCAGTTAGCTTTAAACCTTAATATTTTGAAAACAATACATTTGAATGTACTGTTAAAGTTTTGTAAAGTGTACTGTATACTATATTATTATTCCCTAAATTTTCAAATAGAAAGCTCTGTCAAAAAATGACGAATACTACTAAGCGAAGCTCTAAATTAAAAGATTATATCGATTATTGTATTCAAGATTGTTAAGGGTCGAAAGACTAAGTAAAATTTTCAAAGAGCTGAAAAGACAATTATTAATAATAATAATATAATTATACATGCTTATTTTGGTTGAGCCGGCCATTTAACTCGAAAACTGACAAGCGATATGGATAAAAGGTACACGTATACCATACTGTACCATCGTACCGGTCACAAAGTTTAGGGCGGCCCACCTAGACGGAGTAGTGACCTGGTAAGATACGCGGATCGGAAGATATGAGGTCGATGGACGCAGGTGGCTCAGGGCCTTGCTTTGTGGCATCTATGGGAGGTCTATGTTCATCAAAGGACTTGTGAAGGTCTGTAATGATGATGATGATGATGATGATGACGATGCATTTTAGGAAGTCAAAATATAATTTTTGTCGTCACTTAAATAAAATTTACAAATAATAATATTTGATATATGAAAATACACAAACAAACATTGACATTTATTAATGATATATTTATTTTAATACTGATATTATTTTATACTGTATATTATATAATACATGTAACATATAGAGTATATATTAAATTTGAAATACAACATACTATGTTCGATTTTAAGTTGAGTTATAATATTATATTATATTTTTAATAACTGCGTTGAATTTTCTCGACAGTTTAGCTGGTGTATTTATAATTATTATGTGTATTGTTACAGATAATTAATTATACAAGACTTTATCAAAATGGCTGCGGATGTATCGTATGCCAACGCGACAATGGACAATGGCTTTTCAAGCATCGTGTCGAACCATCTGAAGGGTGTTGGAAGGTTATTTTACCTACATCCTCTCAAAGAAACCACGTATGAACGACACGAGGATGTGCCGAATTTTTTTAGGCAGGTATGTACGCATTTTTTATTTTATAAAGCGAAGGATTGGTTCAAAGAATTATTACATTTCTGCTTTTTGGTTATCAACCAAAGAGATATTTAGATGTTTCAGGAACGTTACTTCCACTTAACATAAACTGAACTGTATGTTCGATTATTAACCTTATTTCTATAACAAATATAATACCAGAGTTCGTACAATCCTCTTAACTTTAATTTTTGCTTCCATAAATATAGTAGTAACTACACTTTTGTGTTGAAGTCTGAAGGGAAACCACCTTAATTATTAGTAATGCCAACGCATCTGTATCCTTATTTGTTTAAAGTTGGTTGTAGTTGTCTATGGCCTGAAGTAACCACTTACCATCAAGTGGACTGTTAGTTTTTTATTTGATAACGTAATACATAGTATAAACACTCACGCTTGTCACCCAGAGGAGTAGGCAGAGACTACAGACTTCCATTTGGCACGATCCTGATACACCTCTCTCTCCTCCTCCACATTCACATACCTACACATACATGCTCGTCGGTTAAGGGTACTCCGTATTAGGTCTATTATCAATATATCGCCAATTTTCTCTTCTATTCACTTCTGCTACATAAAAAAAGCAAAAAAACAAAGCAAATGTTTTATTTCCGTTTTATAAAAAAGTCAACTTTGATATCATAACGTCCAACAACATCTCAGTTTCTTTGAATCCATTGGTATCTATTTAAAATAAATAAAACACGATGATAGCCACAGAAGTTAAACAAATAATTGAATAAGAGAACAATAAACAGAGTTTCAACATTGATTCAAGCTTTGTTGACTGTTCGCTTATGTTTCTAAAAATATAGGACAAAATATCAATTCGTACGGAGTAACATATAATACTAATTAATATGACCCTTAATCAATATGGTTCTAATAAGGTTTTTTATTAGAACCTTATTAGAACCATTGATAACTTAATCAATATAGTGTAAAAAATACAACGCATAATCAAAACTCGTGGATCGTATACAGACTTAGGATGTGTAACCGAAGATCTGTCACGGCAGCCATTCATAATGGAGTCTAACCATGTGTCCAGAACTGGCTTATAATGAACTTAATGTCATAGTCAAATAGGAAAGCAATCTGACGCAACCTGAAAAATATCATGATGATGGTCAACCTAGGACTGCTGCCGCTCTTGTGTTCTAAATCTCGGTTGTGCCGAAATCAGTTTTATGTATTTCTGTAAAAAATTATAAGTACCTACACAGATTCAGAAAGAGGTAGAGGCGAGGAGAGGCGTTATTTAGACCTCGTGCAACGAAAAACACAATTCCGTTGGTCTTGCGACTAATTTCTCTCTAGTCATTTCCAATTGTTGTCTCTTGGGACTATGATAGAAAAGAGAGTGCACCAGTGTTTGTGAACACATCCTATCCTGTGCAGATGGCTAGAAGTATTTCTTGAGACTGGCCGCCGTAACTGAAATTTCACCTCGAGGACATTTATGCTATCACCAATTGAAATAAATATGCAACTTTGCGGTGGTTTGTTAAATCAAGCCGGTGAGTGCATTTTACGCTCTTCGGCATATCTAATTATTTACCAACAGGTATAGGTATTGAGGTTATAGTTTATATAATTGTTACGCGCCGAAGTCGACGGCACTAGCGCCATCTAGTATCGAACAGAAGAACTAAGCTTCTGGAAGCTGACTCTCGAATTTTTGACGCTTTGTCGATCGGTGCGCGTATTTACTTGAATGTTCTGGATGATTCGGTACTAATGTGTATTTATAGGCGTTGCAAGGTGCGATCGGGGAAGTATTGGATTTGGCGAGACAAGCGAAGCTTCGGAACGGAATAAAGTGAATCAGTGTGATTAATTATTGGTGTTTTAAGTTTTAATTTGTGTAAAGAAAATTAAAGTGTTAATTTAGGTAATTTTATCGGCAATTTTTATTGTCACGAAACTCAAGCTCGTAACAATTGGTGTCAGAAGTGGGATAAAATCATGCCGATTTTACCTAAGGAGGAAACGGAGGGTGTCCGTACCCGAAGTCAACGCCAGCAGGAGACGGACCAAAGAAGATTTGGTGGTGCAACGCCGCAGAAGTCGGAGGGCCAGCCGCCGGCTGCAGGCCCGTCAGTAGCTCCTACATCTGCAGCATCTGACTTAGGTGCTCTGATGTTGATGCTGCAGGAGCAGGCTCGCCGACAGGAGGAACAGGTCCGTCGTTTGGAAGGGCAGCTGCGGGGCGGACAGGAGGAACAGGCCCGTCGTTTAAAAGAGCAACTCCACCGCGATAAGGAAGAGCAGATGCTCCTCACGAAGGACCTTCACGCTATCTTCGGAAAAGAGATACGGGAGGTGAAGGATAAGGTTGCTCAACATGATAACCGCCTGTCGGAGGCCGAAACCCGAATCGACCAAGTAAACAATCGGGTTGACAACGTAATGGCTGACGTAAAGAAAACGCTGGACGACCTCAAACTTGGGGATGGAAGAACATTTCCCGTAGTAGCTACAACACCTTCACTACGTGGATTCAAAGTGCCGCTGTTCGACGGGACCTCTTCCTGGTCGGCCTACAAAATCCAGTTCGAGGCCGTTATGGAGGCGAACGGCTGGAATAAAAGCCAAGCCATGACTGCACTCACCCTAGGCCTGCGCGACCAAGCCTTAACTGTGTTGGAAGCTCTCGGTAAGAAAGTGACCTACGAGCAGCTTCTTGAGGCCTTGGAGTCGAGATATGGCGACGCTCACCTGGAACACGTCTTTCGCGCGCAGCTTAAAGATCGCGTGCAGCGCAGCAACGAAAACCTGCAGCAGTGGGCCCTTGAGGTGGAGAAGATGGTTCGAAAAGCATACCAGTCTGTACCTGCGCTCATGGAAGGGAACCTGGTTCAGACATTCATCGACGGCATCCGCGACCTTGAAGTCAGAGCTGCTGTGAGACTTGGGCACCACGACACGCTTAAGGACGCCTTGGCCCATGCACTGGAGGTGGAAGCCGTGCGGCAGGATCATCGTTCCCATCGCATCAGGGAGGTTGCAGCAGCTACAGTACGCGACCGTAACAAAGGATACAGCCCTAGGTGCTATGGCTGTGGAGAAAGGGGCCATCTTCGCTCCAGCTGCCCTAAGTGAACTGTAGGAAGGAGAGTTGATCGATCTCGAGAGGGTAGTGCAGCTAACGGCACCGCTTGGCGGTGGCAGGATCGTCGTTCCCCTTGCGCTAGGGAAGTTGCAGCAGCTACGGTTCGCGACCACAATAAAGGGTAGAGCCCTAGGTGCTATGGCTGTGGGGGAAAGGGGCCATCTTCGATCCAGCTGCCCTAAGCGATCCCTAGAAAGGGAAGGTGAACGATCTCAGAAGGGAACTGCGGTTAACATCACCGCCCAGCAGCAGCCGGGATACGACTTTACAATCAGACATCGTAGCGGGAAATCTCATGGCAACGCAGATGCATGGTCAAGAAGACCTTGTCCTGAAGATCGAAAACATTGTACTAGGCAAGAGAGTAAGGAAGTGGTATCCGTGAGGATGCTCAGGACAGACCACCTCAGCAACGGGTGGAAGGACAGCCTACGACATGCACAGCAGGAAGATCCGGACATCAAGCCGATTCTGGAATGGATGAAGGCCCGTGCTACCAAGCCTAAGTGGTCAGCGATGAGTTCAACCACGAAAAGCTATTGGGCCCAATGGGACAGCTTGCTGATTCAGGGTGGAGTCCTGTGCCGTAAATGGGACAATTGTCGAGGAGACAGCTGTCGTTTGCAAATGGTTGTCCCTAAGGCGAAAGTACTGAATGTTCTACAGCTGTGCCATAATGGTCGTTCAAGAGTCCATCTGGGAGTTAAACGAACTCTGCTGAAGGTCCGAGAACAGTTTTACTGGGTCCATTATCGTGACGATGTCGAGGCTTGGTGTCGTACATGTACAAGTTGTGCGGCCGTGCGGGGACCTCAGACACGTAGTAGAGGAGCACTGAAATTGTACAATGTTGGTGCACCATGGGATAGGACAGCCCTTGACATTGCGGAGCTGTTACAGAAAGGCGCAAGAGGGACTCCTAAGATCGTCCATGTGGATCGCCTGGCGCGATATTATGGGGTCGATAATACTCGAGACGAGCATTTCTTAGCAGGGGGCAGTGTTACGCGCCGAAGTCGACGGCACTAGCGCCATCTAGTATCGAACAAAAGAACTAAGCTTCTGGAAGCTGACTCTCGAATTTTTGACGCTTTGTCGATCGGTGCGCGTATTTACTTGAATGTTCTGGATGATTCGGTACTAATGTGTATTTATAGGCGTTGCAAGGTGCGATCGGGGAAGTATTGGATTTGGCGAGACAAACGAAGCTTCGGAGCGGAATAAAGTGAATCAGTGTGATTAATTATTGGTGTTTTAAGTTTTACCTTGTGTAAAGAAAATTAAAGTGTTAATTTAGGTAATTTTATCGGCAATTTTTATTGTCACGAACCTCAAGCTCGTAACATAATGTAAAAATATTATTTATAAATCTATAATTAAACCTGCACCTATCTTAAGTGTCGGTTGTGAATTTAATATAATAAAAAGTTTAAATTCTGCGGCCTATTAAGTTTGTCTGCCGAGCGTAATTCACAACTACTATAGGGTAATGTTTGCAACATCTTCTGATATCAATTAGACATTTAACTTAACCCTGTTAATGTCAACATCCTCTATCGTTATAATAACATTTTATTCATAGGTAATAGAGATTATATAATGAAATATGTTATACAGTGTATTTTTTGTTGCTGTGTCGATCACTGTAAAGAGGAATAATAATTTTTTGTTGCTGTGTCGATCGCTGTAATGAGGAATAATAATTTTTTGTTGCTGTGTCGATCACTCTAATGAGGGATAATAATTTTCTGTTCACCAGATGCTAGTTTTGACTAAGGTGAAGTTATTTGTCACAAAGTGCAACATATTTTATTTATTTTATTTTATAGGATAAGGTGACAAACGAGCACACAGACCACCTGATGGT